GGGGCCCAAATAAATACCAATAATATTTTGGGGGTTCCTTATTATAAGCCCCCAAGACCCCATTCTAATTATTAAGGCCCCTAGAACCCCCAAAACAATAAAAGCACCCGAAACCCTAAACTCTAAACCCCCCAAAGCCTAAAGCCGAAACCCTAAACCCCAAACCCTGAACCCGAAACCCTAAACCCTAAACCCAAACCCCTAGACCCTAAACTCGAAACCCTAAGCTCTAAACCCTAAGCTAGCATAAGTTATCCGGGGCCGTAATAATTAGAATAGGGTTTGGGGTAAATATCAGTATAATGATATAATTATAGAAAGGAACCCCAAAACCATCTTCTAATTCTTAAGGCCCCTACAGCATTCTCAATCGACTTGTCCCACCCCGCTGAGTCCAGCTTTCCAAGGATGGGCACCATTGCTTCATTGAAACTTAGATGCAGATGGTTTAGGCTTAGGGTTTAGCGGGCTGCGTGTGCATACGTAGTGCGAAACTACTCTGCGCGCGTAAATAATTGCCGATACTACTTTGGGGCTTACTTATCATAACGATAGTATAATGGGCCCCAAAACCTTATTCTAATGATTCAGGCCCCTATGTCATACCAACCCGTGTGAAGCATGTTCGTGGCCTTGTGGGGGATCGTTTGGTGGAGGGTTTGTGAATTCTCATCCATACGAAACCTTTCTGTTTTCGAAACATGTACTTAGATTATGGTAAACCCTAAACCCTAAACCCTAAACTTTAAACGCTAAAACCTAAACCCTAAACCTTTATTCTGGCGAATGCAAGGTCCGGTACCGGTCCGGCGAGGATCTCGGCCTGGACATGCACACGGATGACTCCGTCGCCTGACATGTAAGGGTTCAGGGAAGACCGTTGGGCAGGACTTAGCAACTAGGGCTATAAATAAGGTAACTATACTTATAAGTAATTATAACCCCAATTAAGGTAGTTACAACCTTACTTACTAAGTCTCATGATCCTCCAAGTAGGGTTTGTTGTAACCTCTGGCCCGTGTTGTGCGACAGTGCGACGCAAGTCCTTTCCTCGCAAAGGACGTGACGATGAATCTCTGCCTGGGGTTGGAATTCGCGGGCGCCGGCTTGCAGTTCTGCGGCATGGCCAGATTCCAAGCGCAGGGATGTTTATTTGAAGGCTTGAAACCTCTGTCGTCGTGAATGGTGCTTTAAGCCGTGAAGGTCGGTGCAACAGATCATCGCAAACACTGCTACACCTACTACCACAAGAAGGAGCCAGCTTGGATGCTTTGATGTATGTGTGATGCTGCATCTTGCGTGCTCTCTTTCAACCTGCCTTCTACCATAACAGATGCTGACTTTCCATCGCAACCACTATCCCGCAGGGCACCTGCGTCATCCACCTTGGACGGCGGCGGCACGGTGCAGATGACATTACGCGCCCCGGACGGGGCAGTTGTTCTGCCACAGACTTGAGGCTCTGGGTGGCACACTTAACATAGGGGCCTAAATAGTTACCAGTACTGTTTTGGTGGCTCCTACTTATAACAAAAGTATAATATACCCCAAAACCCTATTCTAATTATGGAGGCCCCTGCAGTATGTTGTCTTTCGGAATAAGCACTTCCTTTCCTTACAGAGGTCCAGATCAGTGAGTGTTTGCCGTAACGGGAACAGGATGTCCATAACGGGAACCCGTAACAGGAACGGGGACCGATCCCGTAACAGCAACCACCAGTTCCTGTAACACCCCCGGCCCGCACCTCGTAACAGGAACCAGTGCAGGGCTCCGAGAATGACTTGGTTCACACCCACCTGCTGTTGTGGGCTCGCCAACTTAGGGACCGCTTTCCGGTCCCCACTTATACGCCTTCAAAATGTCATGTCATGTAGCACTAGAAACTGATCTCCTCACATGTCCACAGCAACCTTTGTCCTGAATTTCCGATCGCTACAGCATCGGCGTTGCCATTAACGCTCCAGAATAGCATGGCATGTGTCTGCTGCGAGTGAAACTGCAAATTTCGTAACTTGTGTGGTATGAGGCTCCTGTGTGTAGTCGCGTCACTTCTTTCTTAGTCCTACCTCTGGTGCTAAGAGCTGACCGAAACCCTAAACCCCCAAAGCCGTTCTCGACCCTGCAATGTGCCCCGCCAACCTTAAACCCCCAAAACTCTAAACCCCTGAACCCCTAAACCTCCTAAGTTCCACTACAGCCGCACAGCACCAAAACACGAAAGCCTAAACCTTCAACCCAGAAAGCGCTGGTCTGTCCACGATGGCATGCAACAGCCTAGCCCACCACCCATAGTAGTAGTACTCCCTGTAAGATAACAGATCCATACTCCTTCGACGAAAAGAATATGAAGAAACAGCCTGTCTGCAGAGACAAGGAGTGTATTGCCGCTGGCATCCTATATCCCAAACCGTGAACCTGATTCAACCCCAAACTCTAAATGCCTCGAACGAAACATAGGTGTCAGCATAAAGCTTTCATGGTGTCAAAGTAGGGAACCGAAAACCGGTCCCCCAGACAAGAGTTCCAGCATAATTTCGGTTGCTTGGCTTTCCCGGGACAGTTCCTGTTACGCTTGCGGTGCGGTTCCTGTTGATAAAAGCCCTCGTCCAGAAATGGTTTCCGTTACTCCCCAAACGGGTTCCTGCCAGATCAGTACACGATCTATCTGGCAGTACTCCGTAGGCCGTAGGCAGTCGGCAGAACTGTACCAAGTTCACCAAGTATAGAGTTCTGCGGAGCATGTAGCCTGACTTTGTTAGGTCCGGTGAGCGTCTTAACCTCATTCTGTGGAACCACTCCAGCACGCTCCTGGCCTGCATCTGCAGCATCACATGATATATTATACATTATACATGAGAGTGTTGGCCAGGCAGTGTTGGCCAGGCACCTGTAGCTTAGTCGCCTTCGGTGCTGCCCTCAAGATATACTAGCGATGTTTTGCACAAGGGTTTTAGACACCGTCAAGACTCCAGACTGTTTTTCACCAGAGTTGCACTCAAGGTACAGAGCAAGCTCCTTGGCGACATCTTGACCAGTGTGAGCCATGTGCATGCTGGGACGGGTTTGATAGGGCGGTCCCAGGTCAAGAGCTTGCAGCGTCACGGGATTCAGGTTGTGGTGCATGGTCCTACTGTGGATGATATGAATCCTGCATTAATAAGGAATACCAGAATTCCGACAGTTTAGGGTCCTTAAGGTAATGCAGGAGTTATATCATCAACCTTAACCCTAAACCCTAAACCCTAAACCCTAAACCCTAAACCCTAAAACCGTAAGCCCTTGTCCCAGGTGATGAGTCCGAGAACCCAGACTATCTCATAGAAGAAGGCCCGCCGCTGCCTTAGGGTTTAGGGTTTAGGGTTTAGGGTTTAGGGTTCTGTGACACAACCTTTAAGCCCCTGGAGGCTTCAAAAACCGAAACTCTGAGATCCTAAACCCTAAAACCCTTAAGCCCCAAAGCCCTGAAAACTTTGAAGCCCTAAAGCCGTAAATCTTAAACCCTTCACCTCGAAACCCTGACACCCTTAACCCCGAAAGCCCTGAAGCCCTGCAACCTGCGTAAACCCTCTCAATCCTAATTCCCTCAACCCTAAATCCTAAACCGAAAACATCCTTACATTCAAAACATCCATAACCCTAAACCCAAAACATCCCTAAACTCTAAATCAAAGCATCTCTAAACCCTAAACATCCCTAAAACCCTGGCAGGCCCTCCAGATGCTGTTTGCGTGAGCTACACGCATGACCGAGACTTCGGGCACTTCAAGGAGCCAGGGTTTAGGGTTTAGGGCTTTCAGGGTCTAGGGTCTAGGGTTAAGGGTTTTGGGGTTTAGGGGTTTAGGGTTTAGGGGCTTTGGGTTTACGGGTTTGGGTTTAGGGTTTAGAGGTTTAGGGTTATAGGGTTTACGGGTTTAGGGTTTACGGGTTTCTTGTGAGGGTTACCATAAGGGCTACTACAAGACTTCCTGTACGGGACAGACAAGGTCGAACTTTCTATACGTAGTACTACAGGAGCTACTATAGAGTTATTATATATATATATATATATCCATATATATATATATATATGGGTGACTACCACGCGGCAATGAACCCCAAACCCTAAACCCTAAACCCTAAACCCTAAACCCTAAACCCTAAACCAGACATGGTGATGTGTTGAAGTGCCGTCGCAGCCTAGGGCCGCAGAGCAGAGAGCTCCTCTGTATCACGACAAAAGACGTTTAGGGTTTTAGGGTTTTGTAATAGGGTTTAGGAGTTTAGGGTTTAGGGTTTAAGGGTTTAGGGTTAAGGGTTTAGGGTTTAGGGTTTTAGGGTTTTGCAATACCTTAAGAATCCAAAACCTACTTTTTTGTAGGGTCCCTATAAATCCCATATTAGGGTTTATAATCAGAGCCTACAAAAAAGTGGGTTTTGGGTTCTTAAGGTAGAGCCCCAAATTGACTGACAGAAAAATTGTGCTTCGGACAATGGTCGGTATGTGTATGCTGATGTGCGCAGGAGTATCCAGCAGGCAAAGAGCACTTCCGCGGTCGTGGCTGGTGTCCTCGGAGAAAGCTGGAATACAAAGGACTCCGGCGTGCATCTACTGCTGTCAAGTCTGCGACACGGCATGCTACTGTGTCGGCTTTCTGCAGGATTCACCCCGGACTGCCGGGAGCTTGGGAGACGGAGCCTAAACCCTAAACTCTCCTAAACCCCCCCGCCGGGAGTTTGAAGTTTGGCTTCAGGCGACGAAGAAGTAGCCGCCCCAAGGAGCTGACACTGCTGAGACTCATCTTAAGCTGATTCCCGGGAAGTCCCTGCACTGCTATCCTTGTAGAAAAGTACTTAGAGCTTTGGTTTTTTCATAACGCACAGCTCACGAAATGATGGAAAGGTGCTGTTGTATCTGCAGGGACGACCCGTCCCATGGACAAGCCTTGAGCTATCAGGAGCAGGATGTGACAGCCTGCAGTGGTTCAAGGTTTTCTCCGCCTGTAAATACGTTCGGATGCGGATGTGCAGATGCCACGCGGTTTTATGGGTTTAGGGTTTAGGGTTCGCTTTTATGAGGTTGCCGTAAACCCTAAACCTTGGGGAAAGGAGTGGTGACCCAGGGTTGCATCTGCAGCGGTTCAACTGAATGCCGCATCGTGTCCCAGGGAGTTTGGTCGAGCAAAAGGAACATCATTCACAGCGGGATGACTGCACGGGTTGGGATTTGCGCAAGGGAGAAGAGGTTGATAAACGTGCCAGAGCTTATGGCAAGTCTGGGTCATGGAGATGAGTTCTCGCACTATAGGACTGTTCTCATTTCTCTCTTGTGCATCCTCGTTCCACAGCGAACCTGTGCAGGAAATGCTTGTGGATGACCTTGCAGGGCTACCAAACGGAGCTGCAATGCGAGCGACAGAAACTTTTCCATGCGCGCGCACGGCGAAAAAACCCTAGCTGCAGCTGCCTCTTCGGGCTGGAGTTTGCAGAAATTTCGTGGCTTCTTTGCTGCCGAGCAGCTCAATATTAATGTAGACCCCTGATTAGGAAGCCGCTTCTGCTTCATAAGGGCTATGGCAGGGATCCGAGATTTTGGGCCATTAAAAACGGAGGTGGAGGGTTCATTAGACATGACATCATAACCCCTAAACCCAAACGCCTCGAGTTTTGAACGAACCCCTACAGAACCTCTTTTGCGAGCCCTTTCAGGGGGTATAGAACCCCTTTGTAGAACCCTTAGCAGGAACCCTTAAAGGAACCCTACAGGGAACCCTTAAAGGAACCCTTGAAGCCCCCTTTATTTGGAGCCTAGGGCCCCTGAAGCCCTAAACCCGAAGCCCGAAGCCCTAAGCCCTAAGCCCTAAACCCTAAAGCCTAAGCCCTAAACCCCGAGCCCTAAACCCCTAAACCCCTAAACCCCCCTAAACCCCTAAACCCAAAGCCCCTAAACCCTGAGCCCTGAACCCATAGAAACCCTAAACCCTAAACCCCCAAAAAGGGCCCTTCTGGTATGGAATTCTAGACCGTATTGCAGTTGGAAAAGGGCCCTTAAAAAAACGAAAAAAACACAAAACAAGGGCCTTCTTTTCCTTGAAACCCTAAGCCCCTAAACCCTAAAGCCTAAACCCATAGAAACCCTAAAACCTAAACCCCCAAAAAGGGGGCCCTTAACCCTAAACCCTAAACCCTAAACCCTAAACCCTAAACCCGTGGGGCAGGTCGTCGGCAGCACGGCGGAGGCCGAAAGCCAGCGGGCCTCGAAGGAGCAGGCTTGTGAGGGTTCCTTGAAGGGGATCTCTATAATGGGTTAAGGGTTTAGGGTTTAGGGTTTAGGGTTTAGGGTTTAGGGTTTGAAGGGGATCTTTATAACTTAGGGGTACTTAGAAATATTTTTTAATCTTTGGTTACTACAAACCCTAAGAAGCAGCTAAACTTATAATTTTTGCTAGGGGTCTAAGCTCAGTATAGATAACGGGTTAAGGGTTTTAGGGTTTTCAGGCTTCTGAGGGTTCCTTGAAGGGGTCTCTCTAAGGGGTTTAGGGTTTTGGGGTTTTGGGGGTTTAGGGGGTTCTGGGGTTAAGGGTTTAGGGTTCAGGGTTATCTTTAAGGGATCTCTATAAGGGGTTTTAGGGTGTTGGGGTTTTAGGTTTTTAGGGTTTTGGGGTTTTGGGGTTTTGGGGTTTTGGGGTTTTAGGGTTTAGGGGTTTAGGGTTTTATTGTTTTAGGGTTTAGGGTTTAGGGTTTAGGGTTTAGTGTTTAGGGTTTTTGAACAAGGGGGGATCTTTTGGGGCGTCTCGCCTTTGAGGGTTCCTCTTGATGGACGCCTTTGAAGGGCTGCTTTTCAGGGTTCTTTTGGGTTTAGGGTTTAGGGGTGCAGAGTTTACGGATTTAGGAGTTTAGGGGTTTAGGAGTTTGGGGCTTAGTTTCTGGCGACCTTCATCCCAAAACAAAGCCCAAGATGTTGAAGAAGCTTTGGAAGGACTGGATGATCCCGTCTGTCCGGTTTGTCAAAGATTCGAGCATTCCTGAAGCATGTATTCCGAAGCCGAGGTTTAGGGTTTAGAGTTTAGGGCTCATGCAAGCCCCTAAAATCAAATCCAGTGTTCAATGAGAGCCTGCTGGTGGCATCCATCTCGTCCAGCACCTGGAACGAACGCATAGCCAGAATTTACGCCCAAAGCACAAGCTGGAGAACTTAGGGCTGAGTACCCTAGCCCAGTAAAGGTTGACCTGTAAAGTTATGGTAGGGTCATACAAACCCGAAAAGGTTTAAGGCTACCTGCCTGCAATGATCACTCTTATTGCAAACTTCTATAGGGACCTCACTAATTATCACTAATTCGGAAAGGGCCCTGGGATGTAGTATTCTATAGACAAATTATGGTTGTAACATTGATACTTATTCATACCCGTATATGGCTTTGACGCAGTCCTACATTTTTGTAAGCTCTATAGGCCCTAGTTCATAAGCATGCTACGAACCTCGACAACTGCCCAAGATGTGGATTCTGCAGGATCCGGGAACCATCCACCCTCACATGATGGTGCGCAACAATGAAACAAAACCCTAAACCCTAAACTCCTAAACCCCTAGACCCTAAACCATCGGTTTCCCTTCATAGAGCCGGAAGCCTGAATCTTAGCATGGACCCGCCGACGCTCTCCCCCGGCGGTCCAACAAAAAACGCTCCTAAGCTGTGAGCCTGAATTTCTGTGCCTCAAGAGTCGAAGGTGACCCAAGCAGCGATACTAGATCTTGATTATGGCCATGTTAAGCTTTTGTTATGGAATACTTAAGCCCTTATTATGGCCATAATAAGCCCTTATTACTACGCCGAAGACCTGGTTTAAGCCTTAAGAGCCCCGTCCCAGCCGGCCTCACGCACATTCTTGATCAAGTGCTCTGCTTTAATTCCTGGCGGTGCTTGCAGTATTCTCGGCCCTTCTACCTCGAAAACACAACGTAACCCTGGAGAACAAGACATCAAACCCTGCAGCGAGTTAGGACCCCGGAAAAGAACCCTCTGGATTTCTCGGCGTTGTTTGACCCCGGGAAACCTGCGTGCAGCTGGCCAAGGGTAAGGTTAAACGAGAATACGGTTGATGATATAAACCCCGCACTACCCATAATGAGGAATATACCATAATTCCCATAGTTTTGGGTCCTTAAGGTAATGCAGGATATAGATCATCAACAGTAGGGTTCCTTCAGGGGATTGAGATTCTACGGCATCTACAAGAGTTCGGTTGGGATTCATGAGCGTTTTGGTAGAGGAGCTTTGATTTCTTGAGCAGTCTTGGAGCAGATGATGCAATAATCAGCGAGAGACTTTCACTGCTTAGCGATGTATATCGCCTTTCCATCGACTGGTAAACCGACAGGAAGACCACCAGACCCGACATCCACATCCATGACTCATTGCAAACCCATCCTACAGCATAAATCTGAAATCCTTAGATCCAAATCCGAGACTCTGTTTCTCTGGGCGAACCCCACTGTTCTACTATGATTTCCGTGCATTCCCTGAGAAGGGGTGTTCGAAATCCTGGAACCCAAACTCACAACACCGCCGAATGACCTCGGAAGCTCGAAACGGGCGCGCAGAGCGGTTCTTCTTCGCCCTTTTTCGCCTGCGTTCATCACTTCGCACCACTTCGGCTTGCGTGTTCGGACTCCAGGGTCTTGCGCAATTCTTAAAACCCAAAGCCCCCGACCCCTAATCTCGAATAACTTTTGTAAGGGACTAATCAAACAAAAACATAATAGGAAACTGTAAACCTGTAAACAGAGGGGTGTTATAGTGTTCAAGACAACCCTGAAACCTAAACCTTGCAACCCTAAACTAAACCCCTAAACCCTATGAGTGGTTTTGGGCGGGTGTGCGAGTTTACGTGGTAGGGTTTGGGGTTTGAGGGCTTAGGGGTTGACGGGTTTAGGGTTTGGGGTTTAGGTTACGGCTTTTGAGGCTAAATTGTCAGGCTGTCAGTTCTCTGCGCATGTGCGTAAGGTTAAACTTCGGGGTTGGTAACAAAAACCTGAACCTAAACCCTAAAGCGTAACCGCTGGAACGGATAGGCTCGTGAAGTCAGCGCAGCTTTAGTTTCGGGAGTTGCCGATGGTGCATCTTTAGAGTGGTCTTTAATATAGAGCAGCAATAGCTCTCATGGCCTGGGGATCATGTCATTATATATGGCACATCACCAAGTAACTAAATGCATCAACAAATAAATACACTCATAGATACACCAAATCAGCAAATGCACAAAAAAACACACAAGTAAAGTATATACATGTACATATATATATATATATATATGTACCCATGTCATTATAGTATTCACATGTTACATTCTGTGGTTGCTTCTAGATGCATATGTAAATATAAATATACGCAGAATGATATAACTGGCTATCTCTTTATTGCTGAACACGAATATGACCCACGGACCATCACCATCATCAGCATGAGTAGCGTCGGCATCATCCTTACCACCATCATCAGCAACAACACATCACCAACATCACCATCACCGCCGCGGTCACGATCATCGTCACCATCGGCCTCCTGCTCCTGACCATCCTGATAATCTGCGGTTTAGGGTTTAGGGTTTAGGGTTTAGGGTTTAGGGTTTAGTGTCTGGATCCGATCTGACACAACCACATATCTCTCTGGCCATGCGGCTGCGACTGCCGTTTCCGCTGCCCGCCTTTGACTTCTTTTTCTTCTTCTCCTCAACGACGGGACCGCCGTTCCTGGGATGAAGACCCTACAAACTACTCAGGGA